CTAAACCCAGACGAAAAGGAAATTACCACTTTTTTTCTTCTTTTCTTTTAAAATATTCAGTCTGTCCCAAAACCTTGATGAAGTCAGTGTATTAATTTTTATTACACAAAGCATAATAATGCATGTTATTAATTGTTTTTGAGAAAACTGCAATATCAAAACACCCTGATGCATAATGAATTTATATTAAAAGCTCTTGAATTGAATTGAAAGAAAAGATGCTATAAGCATTTCCTGATAGTAAATGCAATTTCTTCTGGTCTCTCAGTATTGATCCTAGGTGTTTTAATAGGTTTTTTACCAAGTAAAAAACGGTCTCATTTGCATGCAAATTATATAATGCTTCCAAATGATACATGTGGAGATCCTCCTCTGCCTGGTTTCTGCTGATTATTGATGTCTGTTTAAGGCTTGTTTTTGTTCCCTGTGTTAGCAATGTAGTATTTATTGACATTTTGATATAGGAAACCACAAAACATCCTATCCAGTTAGATTAATTTATTTCTATGGAAGTGCACAGGAAAAAAGATTCTATGAACAAAGGCACGAGCAGACATTTATCTCATTTAAAAATTCAGAAACATGCTAGTTTTAGACTTGCTTCCTCTGTGACGTCTGTAAGAAACTAGCCAACTGAGTCATCTTATTATTTTGGCATCTAAAAAAATTACTCCACATTGTTAATGTAGCTTGCATCATTCCATGCCCTGAAAGTAAACTTAATTTTAATGAAGACAGCCTCCCTTTAATTCTGATCTTTTCTCACGTACAACATGTGGTGTGTAGTTACCAGCTTGCCAGGACTGCATCTCATGTCTATTTTGTGTGCAGCCTACTACACCCAGGTTTTGTGAAATAAAAGCGATCAATACTTTTTTATAAGATGTGAATATTCTATGAATAGTCTACCTTTAATGTCACTGGTAAGTGTAATGATCATTAATACATGTTTTCAGCTCTAAAAAAATAACTTATGTAAGCACGAAGTGTTCATGTAACTAAACATTTAAGATATGGTACATATACAATAAATTCTCATCTATTACTGTAGCAACATGATGGTTTGCAGGTTTGTAACACAGTTTGTGTAACACCAATTAGAGTAACTTACTAGGCTATACTGTCTACTAGACTATTCCCTGCCAGTTTTTGTCAAGTATTGGAAAACATTTTTCTAATCATGTTTGATACGTTAGATAATAAATCAACACAGTAAGGGCAGGATAAATGATTAAATAGAATGGAAGGACAAAGAGATGAAGCAATTCAGAGTTGGGCTCCCCAAGTCCTGCCCACAGCCCGGTCTGCATTCTGGGCTGTGCTCGGGGTATCAGGAGGGTTGCAGATGGGCTTGCTTTGCTTACTACCTTTCACTGGTAGTAGGTAGTATCAATGGCAAAGGGAACAGTGCTTACCCTGGTGTTCTGCAAGAGGAGAGTTAGGAACCTGCAGCTCTTCTGCAAGGATGTTATACATTTACTAATGGTAAAGTTGACACAGGGTGACTTTCTGTTGGCAGAGAGGGAAACCACGTCAGCACTGAACCTGTGCTTCCCTCTCGTCTTTAGACGCGTCCACTTTAGGACAGTTGGGCATGCTAGTGAAGCAGTGCGGAAGACTTGCCCTGCTACTCCCAAAGATAAGGGGAACACTTTGGACTTCAGGTGTGACTGTCTTTTAATTTATCATTAAAACTTATTTCAGGTGTTAAGACTAGAAGATATTTACTCTTTGGTACAGTTTAAATGATGTCTTAATATTTAGCATAGTAACATGTACTATATATCTTTTGGTACTGTCATTTGAAGAGGATAGGGTTCCTCTTTTTCTCAGGTGCTGCCGCTACTAGTGGTAGCAGCAGCAACTCATGATCATGACAGCAACATCTCAAAACTTCTCAAATCAGGATCCCACCTTCATATACTCCATCATGTTTCCCCCAAATTAAGAGTTTGGCAGCAGTTGGCCTTGACCCCATTAGGACTTCAGTCCTAGCCTCGTCCTTACTGAACTCTGGCATGATGTTCTGAGACAGGTTTCCCTAGATATCCCCTCAATAAGCCATGAACTCAGTTCTATACCCACAATGACCCTGGTCCCATCTCTTTGAAGTCACTTACTACTTTAACATACCCTGTCTTTCTATGGCATAGCTGTGCTTAAAGCTTCGTTTGAGCTTGCAAAACAAGTAAAATGTGCCAGCTGTGTTGATGCTACCTGTAGTGGCACAGGTCAAGTGTGCGAATATATTTTACAGATACGTAATAAAATTAATTTTATAAAGGAATAGTTTAACAGCTTTGCATTCTAGGCATAATAACTAGCTTTGTATATTGATTTTAATTACAAAGCCTAAAAATGTAGAAAATCCTTAAATAAAGTTACTTAAATGGAAATGCACATTGTTGTAATTGCTTCCATTGAACCAGAGTTGAAGATAATAAAACCAATAATCCTGGACAACACAGGAAGGGAAAACGTAACCCTCATATGTAGTGAAATATCAAACAGAACAAAAATTCTTTGAAAACCATTTTGTCTTTGAGTTGGTGAGAAAAACCCCACTACTAGTTTGTAATTATTCCTTTAGAATGGAAAAAAGGAATGGATAGATGTAATTGCCTGGGGAACAGACATCTAGTGCCAGTTAAGATGCTGTAGGGTATCTAGGCTGGTTTCTTGAGTGCTGCTTCAGAAAGATGTGGGTCTCCTGCATTGACTGTGTCACCTCTGCTGTCTGCATGGTTATGTGTCAGGGGCATCTCCAATATAACTAGACTTTTGTGTTTTGCTGTTGAATTGAGTTCACAGTGTCTTTACTGGCTGTTTTTAGCAGCTCTAACAATCTCTGGCACATCAAAACAGTCCCATTCATCTGGAAGAACAAAAATATTTTGCTAATACACAGAATTTCCATTTAACTAATACTCCTTTACATTGGAATAAATGAGGATTGCAGATGATAAAGTGCCTTACCAGTCACTGCAGGAAAAATAGTTGAAAGTTCTCCCGGAACACTTTTGTAAAGGGATTGCCTGTTCAGCCAGGATTAGAATTTCGACAGATTTTAGCAGTGTCTAAGAAAAACCTATGAAAGTACACCCAGGTAGCTTGTTTGTGTTTCCAGGTGATGGACAGGGGCTCAGGCTGTGCAGTAGACCAGCATCTGTAAGCAAAAGGTCCAATTTACATGTACAAATCCATTTCTTGAACATTGGTATTGTCTTGGGAATCTCTAGCTGTGTCAATAGCATCTGGTTTAACTTCAAGAATTTTATGCACAGTCTTTTAATACGCCTTTAGTGAATTTGAGCCTCCAAAACCAAAGTCTTGTTACCCATTGTTGGTTATATTGTCAGATTTTGACACTGCTTTTTTTATTCATAACTGGATTCTTGCTCTGGGTGGCATAGCATTTGCTTTGAATAAACACTTCTGTGTACATTAGCCTGCTTGACAGACAGTAAGTCACAGGCATTGCATAGGGTCTGCTGTGACCAAGTACTTAACGTTGTTTGAACGCTACATCTTCTGGCTGTTCTGATTCAGCTGTCCTGGGGCAGAGAGGTAAAGATACTTGTTATAAAAAACAGTTTCATGTTAGTGATGATTATTGAAGATTGGAATATGGAAGAGGTGGTGGAAGTGGAAGGAGACAGATTGTTTTTTAATCTCTCAGTTATTGCTAGTTTGGAGAAAGCTGGAATGAGATCCCAGCATTGGTTTCTCACTGAAGAAGTTTTTGTGGAACCTCAGCCGTGTGCTGATTCTAAGGGGTACTGTACTGTCTTCTGGCCCTTAAAGGAAACTCTAGCATTAACCCATCTTTATGGCCTTTCCTTGGTGGGGCTTTTAGAGGGGGTGCGAGGAGTAGTAAAATGAAGAAAGAACTAGAGTCTACAGTTAAGTAAACTTCTATATTGACTATAGAGATGAAAAGATAGAATGTAAATGGGTTGCTTTATTACACCATAATTTCAGTAGTATAAATGTAATGTAAATGCAGAACTGCCATCAGTAGTTCTCTCCCTCTGAATGAGACTCCAGTTCACTCCTGGCATTTCCTCTGATGCTTCCTCTTAAGAGAATTACCCAGTCTAAATAAAAACCCACAGAGGTTGTATTCTCATGGCATCAGGCACTGGGAGCTTGCTAATGTCCATTCCTTAGATTTTTATTATGGAAAAAAGTCTTGCTAGCTCTCATATATCAGGAAACCGTTTCTTTTCTGAATATGTGCACTGAATATTGAGAATCTTTGAAGCTGTGAATTGTACATAACTTCTTTAATCTGTTCCCTGGTTTGCTATTTAGGGAAATGGGAAAGTAAGTGTTTGCTCTGATCAGTATGTGACTGAGGGAAAAGAGTTCAAAAAACAATTCAGTAATGCAGTATCTACAGGTAGGGAACCTTCTCCATAGGGAACCTTCTCCTCCTTCCCATCATGAGTCTGGGACAATTGGCACTACTGACTGGTGTGAAGGACCATAGGTGTGTAAGATGAGCTTTTCATTCCTCATGTCATAAAGAACTGATAATCTAACTGGCGTTTTCTGCTTAGACCTCCAACAAGGGTTACAACTCAGCTACTGCCCAATTGACCTAGAAATGGAGAAAGTATTTACAAGTACATAATGCAGGTACAGTGGTTTTTGAACATAGAGTTGTTAAGCCACTAAAAATCCTACAACCACCTCAGACTAAAGATGTTTTTAATGATTTTGCAAGCTAAAAAGAAAAGTTTTATCTTTGCATAATCAAGAATTTTGCTGACTTTCTTTCCAGTGTCTTTGATATAATGCTGTATAACATGTTGGTATATTTAAATAATATCAGTGTTATTTAATATATTTATATTTCTTTTTTATTATTCTACTAGCCAGTTAAAGAAAAAGTATTTTGTATTTTCTCTTGAATTTTTGAAATTTGGCTTCCTTGTTATGTGACTCTGTCTTACCTTTTTTCCTTCCTGCTTTTTTTTTTTTTCTTTTGCCTTCAGAACTACTATGGAGCTGCCAAAATGATTCTTTCTGACAATCCACTTGGCCTGACATGCGGAATGGTGTGTCCAACATCAGATCTCTGCGTTGGTGGCTGCAATTTGTATGCCACTGAGGAGGGACCAATTAATATTGGTGGATTGCAGCAGTTTGCTACTGAGGTAGGTAGGACTTGCAAATGTCTTAAATTCTTTGTATGTACCAATGAGTATTGTCTAAGTGTTTGCCTTTGTTAATGATTTGTTTAAAAAAAAGTTGTTACTGATACAGTAAAGGTGTAGGAAGTTAGAATAATTTTCTTTTTTCTTACAGCATATTCAGGAGCTTAGAAATGCATTCGTAATGCAATACTTTATAGGAATATTATTTGTGAACAAGATGACTCTTTAGAAACACTAGTAGTTGAGACAATTTGTTTTATAATGAAAGATTTATCTAAGCCAGGTGAAATTGTGGATGTTACTGAAGTAGGCTGCATAGGGAAAAAGATCAAGTGCACCTGCATCTGTAACTGCATGTTAAGGAGATGTAGAACTGTTCCGGGCATAGGGTAGATACTATGTCAGAGTCAGTATGCATTTGTATTGGCTTTGGGGCAAAATTTCAGACGATTTAGACTTTTTACTGTCTTGTTTTGCCCAAACTAAGTAAATAAGTAGTTTCAGGTTGACCTGAAATATATGTCTGTGTGCATCTATCTGGATAGATACAGATGCACACATGTGTGTATGTGTAAATTTATTAGTTCATAAAAGTATGTGTATATTTTGCCTACTGAAGCAAAGGTTGTTACTTGCTGCTTGATGTTAGGAATTCTTCTCAAAGGTTTTGGTTGAGGTACGTGCATTATTTGTGACTGTATGGTTTCAGTGCTCCAATTTCCATGTGAGGAAAGACAGAGGCTACTGCTCATTTGTTAACTTCCTTGAGGGCACGGAGAATTTGTACCAAACTCATGATCTCAGCTGGCACCTCATCTGATCTGCCTGAAATATCTTTGGGTAAAAATTGTGATTTTGGTCTCAGTAAAAGTGAGGAAGTTGTGGCTGTATTAAAAAAAGGCATATGCATGTGTTAAGATTGGACATTTCTATACAGTCCCTAACTAATGAGCACGTCCCTCTTCTGTATCTTGAGCCATTTGTCTGATCATATTTACAAACATACGATGAAATTCCAGTCACCTTTACAAAGCCTGAGAGAAAAAACTTTGTGGGACAGACCAAAATAGAAATGCAAATCAATCTGGAAGTAACAGATGATATGCCTGTAAGGCCAATTTTTTCCCTCTGCTGTCATTCATAGACTTCACACTCCCTTTTCAATGAGGGTCATGATTCAATGAACAAATGTTACTACCTGCTGCAGTTCTCCTTTTATCTATTTGTATCCCTCCTTTCTTCTCTTGAGGAGACTTGTGAAGCTTCTGGAGCATCTGCTAAACTTTTCTGCTAGCTGTTGCTGAACCTTCACTCCCCTCTGTCATTTAAGTAGCTATCAACTTTGATTTTCTTGAGATTTGAACATACAACCATAAGAATCAGTACGGTTTGGACCAGAGTTCTCATTTACAGGATGATGTTAGAGACACTGAACTGTATTTGTTCTATGTGTATATTCAATAGTTGGGTTTTATCAGTCAAGAGGCAATTTTATTAGTTTTTCTTCTAATGGCCTTTATTCCTTATATGTAAAAATTGAATATTTGTTGCAAAGCAGAAGACATTTTTTTCTTTAAAAAAAAACCCACAAAAAAACCCAACAAAACAAACAAAAAAACCCCACAACCTATAAAGAAAAAAAGAAAGATTAAACAGTTGTCACGTAGATGATAAATACAATAGTGAAATATTACTGTTTAGGAACCAAATGCAAGTAATATCTGTTGAAATTTGATTTGTGTCTCCTTTTAGCCCTAATGCTATGATTAATAGAGAGGAATTATGGCTTGATAGATAATGCTAAATATCTGCCATTTTTCTTCAAAAATCTTTAGAAAATCTATTAAAAATGCTCAGTGCTAGCACAATGATTGATATGAAAACTGCAGAGAGGATGAATAGCTCAGAATGGCTTTGCTCCTAGTGTTTCAAGTTTGTTTAAAATGATATTATTGTTAAGAGTTCTAACAAAATAAAATTATTATACAGTTTTATTTAGCACTCTAACAAAAATAACATTTCAGTATATTTTATTATCCTTAATATTTTTATAGTACCCTAAAACATTAACATTAGTTGATAATAACCTTTAGATTTACTGCTATTTAACAAAGTATTTGTATGTATTGTAGTACTCATAATTAGTAATAGCAGGCAGTCGCTTTTGTAATTAACACTTCTTTTTCCAGCTTTCATTCAGTTAAATTTTGCTATGAAAGTATGTATAGTTGAAAAAAAAAAATGGTCTGAGTGCTTCCAAGTAACAATTATTATGAAAATATAGATTGAAATACTGAAGAAAATCATAAGGTACTACTGTTCATAAAAAAACTGGCCCAGCAAGCAAAGCGTGTTCACAGCTTTACCTATACGAGTAACTTAGCAAATAGTGTAATTTAGGCATGCAACGTGTGTTAGTCTTAATGAGAGCTGCATGGTAATTCTCACGCACTGTGTAACAGTTTGTCCCACAGGGGTGTATTTACTGGAAACTCCATTGTGCATAAAGCCAGTTTTAGACTTTTTTTCCTTGGAATTAGTCTGAGGATCATACACTTGATGCATTATGAGAGTGAGTGATAATAAAAAGGCACAACTGCTAGCTGAGATAAAAGATAAAATAGCAGTAAAACAGGAATGTGGGTTTAAAATGGAAAATATATGGCTATGATGTATGCCCCTTTGTGCTTCTGAACAATGACTGATCATCTGTTCATACTGCAGATAAAACTCCCTAATTGTAAAATATTTGTCTTGCATATGGTAGATCAAAAAAATGGCACCTCACACCTCCTGCGTTATCCTTCTACGCTTCCATATAGTTTTGTAACTGTTAGGCTCATTCTCAAAGTAAATTGTAATGCAGTCTGAAAAAAATGTGGGTTTTGACAATTAAATTTTCAAATGGGAGGAAATGAAATGACCGTTTGTGATGTAGAATGTGTATACTGGGATGCAGTTACCACGGTAACTGTTGCATCTAGAGAAGAACATGGAGTAAAAGCTCACTATTATAAATGATGAGTGTCAAGTGCAGGTTACACCTGCTACTGCACAGGTCAAAATTATATTAATGTCTTTATCTCTCTCCTTTGCCCAAGTATTTTAGAGACAGGAAACATCTCTGTTTTTGGAACACAAGTTCACTCAAAATATACTGAGATTGGAGTGACAATACATACAAACATAAGCTATGTGACTGTCAGTCCCACAAAATAAACTAAAATTACTGGTTACTCAAGTACAAGTTTGTAAGCTTGCAGTAAAAAAGAAGCATGGTCTATTACATTGTTGTAGTATTAGTAAGAAGCCCTCAAAATCTTACGTTTCTGGATAGGCATTACTGAATCTAAAGGTTCTCCTGTGTTTCTAGTTAATCATTCTGAATGGAGCAGCACAAGCTAAATAGAAAATGTATTCTTTTAATCGCTGCATACTGGATCTAAATACTAGATCATTTAGTACTGCGCCTCTTGTGCCAGCTACAGTTCTGGTGATTTGTTGCTCTCTGGAGATATATTCTGCCTGCTGTTGCAGCAGAAATAAATTGGAAAAGGAAACTTGGTATGTTTTTTTTTTTTCTAAAAGATGCATTGTATGAGTTTACCTGCTGTTAACTTAGTGGCATCTCAGCAGAGCACCTGGTCTGGGAGGTGGGCTGTGGTGAAAGTCCCACTTTGAGTGCTGAACCTCCCTTCTCCCCCAGCCCACCATGGGCAAGGAAACAATGGCTGACCATGAGGGATTACCATGGAGGGGCACGTTGCACCCTCGGGCTCAGGGTCCCTCTTTTAGTTGCATATTCACAGCTCCGATCAGTCTTAACATAGGTGGGGGGACAAGGTGGTTGTTGTGGAGCTGCAGCTTCTGCAGTTGGATTGCCTTGGGATGTCTGCCTGCTCCCCTCACTGTCGCCAGCTCGGATGGGTGTGCTGCATCAGCAGAGGAAGATTATTCTGGGGAGCTAAGACAGGAGTTAGTGATTAGGACCCCCTGGGAAACTGCCCTCAGGGACAAGGGACCAGGAGCTGGCAGATCTTCAAAGATGCTTTCTATAGAGTGCAAGAGCTCTCGATTCCCAAGTGTAAGAAATCAGGAAAGGGAGACAAGAGACCACCCTCAGCAAATTTGCAGATGACACCAAACTGGTGCAGTTGACACATCTGAGGGATGGGACGCCATCCAGAGGGACCTGGACAAGCTCCAGGAATGGGCCCATGTGAACCTCATGAGGTTCAGCAAGGCCAAGGGCAGGGTTCTGCATCTGGCTTAGGGCAACCCCCGGTATCAGTACAGGCTGGGGGATGAAGGGATGGAGAGCAGCCCTGCTGAGAAGGACTTGGGGGTACTGGTGGATGAAAAGCTGGACATGAGCCAGCAATGTGCGCTCACAGCCCAGAAGGCCAACTGTGTCCTGGGCTGCATCCAAAGCAGCGTGGCCAGCAGGGCGAGGGAGGGGATTCTGTCCCTCTGCTCTGCTCTGGTGAGACCCCTGCATCCAGCTCTGGAGCCCTGAGCACGGGAAAGACATGGACCTGCTGGAGAGGGTGCAGAAGAGAGCCACAAAAATGATCAGAGGGCTGGAACACCTCTCCGATGAGGACAGGCTGAGAGAGTTGGGGTTGTTCAGCCTGGGGAGGAGAAAGACTCTGGGGACACCTTACTGCAGCCTTCCAGTACTTAAAGGAGGCCTGTAAGAAAGATGGGGACAGACTTTTTAGCAGGTCCTGTTGCGATAGAACAAGGGGTAAAGGTTTTAAACTAAAAGAGGGCAGATTTCAACTAGATATCAGGAAGAACTTTTTCACAATGAGGGTGGTGAAACACTGGCACATGTTGCCCAGAGAGGTGGTATATGCCCCATCCCTGGAAACATTAGAGGTCAGGCTGGACGGGGCTCTGAGCAACCTGAACTAGTTGAAGATGTCCCTGCTCACTGCAGGGGGGTTGGGCTAGATGACCATTAAAGGTCCCTTCCAACCCAAACTGTTCTATGATTCTGTGATTCTATTATTTGGACAAGTTATATGAACTTCGTCTACAGCATGTTTTACAGTCATTAAACATTCTTTGTTTTTTCTAAGGCATTTACATGAATGTTGCTGTGTCCTTTTTAGTGGTGGGATTCATGAAATGTTGAGGGATGGAATCTGCAATGTCCTAGATCCATGGGTTTTCTTTAGACTGGGATGATATTAAAATATAGTTGTTATGTAGCTTTGAAAAATCTTTAATGAGATTATGGCTTTAGGCCCTAGTTTTGCCAACACTCACCTACTTAAATAGAAGTTTGCAGTATTACAACTGTAGGTGTTCACTTGTGGAAGGAAGATCAACAAGTTTTCATAACTGGCTTACGTTTGTGAAAAAAACACTTCCTGTGCTATCCACTGCAATTAAATGAAATTAATCGTGTGATCATGTAATTTGACAACTTCAAGAAGATTACTGAGCATGCAGTTTGCTTCACTTACTATTAAAAGCTGCGCAGAATATTTTCTCCTTTATTCAACTGCCCCATATTAATGTAAACCAGCCTACAGATAAATAACCATGGAAACCAGTAGGAAAGTGTGAAACTAATACAATCAGTTCCTAAACGTTACTGATTTCATTGCCTGTATTTTTCTCTGTGCACTAGCAAAATCTGGTGACAATTCAGTATATACTAATATGTTTCACACTAAAATAAATAACAGCTAAAAGCTAATGTCTGTCAGTAGCTGTTTGGTATCTCATCATCTTAGTGAAGGATATTTAATGGCAAACCTGAACTGATAAACTTATTTCTGTAGCCTTTTAAGCATGGAAGCAAGCATTATGCCTCAAGAGTAGAGAATTTAGTTATGAAGTCAAAACTTATGTTACTAAAAGATTAAATTTTCCCACTGCTGCTTCCATTTTCTCCTTTTTTTTTTTTTTTTTTATTTCAGCTGCCTTCTTGTGTTGATGAAGGTTTTGTGATGAAGATGAGAGATTAAACAGATGCACTTTTTAGTTAAGAAATGTGACCTTCTGTGTTGGTCTCTGAGAGGACCAAATAATGCTTTTTAGCATGCTATCTTGTTTCATAGAATTAGGCAAAGGCTTTTTTACATTTTAACACTGAGGTTAAACTTTCAGTCTATTTACTTTTTTATTTAACACATTCTTTGTCAGAACTGAAAGACAATTTTAAATAAAGATGAATTAGAGTAAAACTGTCTGACCATATTTGAATTCTGCAAGTAGGTGGAGAAGGGTATCTACAGTATATTCCTCTTAGAAAAATTCTGATAAGAAAACTCAAAAGTGACTGAAATGAGTTACTTTAATTTATATAAAAATTGAGATAATGTTTCTGAATAACAGTTCTAACCTGTTCTAATGGTTTAAAATGTTTTAGATTTATTTAAATCATGCTTACTATGCCATAAAATGATTTTCATCAGGTTAGCAAAATGCATTTCTCAGAGTCAGCTGCCACTCTCTGCCAAATGTCACATCTTTTCATCAAGACATGCTAATAGTGGAGACATGTGGTGGAGAAAAGAACCAGAATTACGGTTCTTTATGTCCTACTCTCATGAGGAAAACAATAAGCTTTTCCCTGTCTGCATTATGAAAAATAGCTAAAGTGAGTTGGCTAAAACTTTCCAGGAAAATTAGACTTGAATCAGATGCTCAGCAATCGAAACCATTGTAGCTTGCTTAAGTGGGAAATATTGTGGAACCTTAATACAAACTTGTGTTTGGATATAGCGCCTGGAATTATGCTCTTTGTCGAGTATACTTAATGTTTTAGAATAAGAAACAACCCCACTGCAGTGAAAAGTTGTTTGATTTACAAGGAAGAAGAGAAAAAACCCAAGATTTCACACTGGAGAGAACATTGAGCAAGTGCACTCTCACCCTTACTTGTTGTAGTAGTGCAAATAGGGAACCTGTAATATGTTATAAATGTCTGAATCGAGAGAATTTGTTTCAGTTGTTGGAACTTTAGCAGAAAAGATTGGCTGTTTTAGTTTGGACAAATTGTATCTCACTTGAGGACAAAGTCTCCATAATCTTTTTTGTAAACAGGGATATCCTTTCTATGGATCCTAATGGACATGAGGCATAAGAAGTGGATGGAATCTGTGTGGGTTTAGTTTGAATAGGCCCTGGATGGTGAAGTGTAATGATGATTGCATAGTATGTGGTAAAAAGTTAAAGAATAAATTCCCAGTGTTATTAATGTCTGTTAATAATCTATCTAATCTCTTTTTGTTGTGTATGAGACAGAGCCAGAAGGAATAGCAGACATGGGGATGATGGTTGAGTCTTTCCACTGAGAGATTCAACTTTAAAATTTGTTACTGAGTCTCGTTTTCCTGATGGGTCTTGGTTAAAGAGCACTGCAAAACAAAAGAAAAACCCCATCCAAACAAAAGTGAAATAATCTTTTTGAAAGGAAGCTGGACAAGAAAGGCAACAGTATTCAACTTTACTTGCATCATGACCACAGTCTGAGCAAATTAAAATCCGAGAAGACAGTAGCATGTGATGTGGCGTTGAACGCTTATTGCAAAATAGTCATCCCTGCACACCAGAGCGTTTGTACAGAAGAATTCAGTGATATTTAATTAGGTGAATTACAGTGTAAAAAAAACCATGAGGTGAGTGAAACCCTTTTGAAATGCATTGAAGCAGTTTGCTATTTTCACAGTTACTCTGCCAGCCTTAATATGCAAAACTGCCACTGAATTCCAGATGGCAAGATATTGTTGCACAAGCTGGCTGTGCTGCATAAAGACAGTTTCACCCTATTTGCAACTAGGCAGAATTAAAATTGACCATTCAGCCTGAACTCTTAGGATTTCCTGCATGAGTGCTTTGTTTCTGAAGCTTAACACTGCACTACAGTAGTGCGGCACTTTAGTATAACATTTAGTTGATGAGTATGAATGTTCAATAATAAATATAAAAATAATATGTTAACAATAAAGTAAATTCAGTGATAAATTTATTAAGCATATGCATATATTCATAGTGTTCAATATAGACGTTGAATATGTAAGTCATAATTTGTATTACCGAGTAGCCTTCTAAAACAACTGCATGAGACTTTAATGGAAATTTGGTATCATTCGAGCCATTTCCGTGTGAATGTAACAAAGCAGACATTTTAGCAATATCCTATTGCATTTTGGTTATCACAGTCTAGTTTCACAGTACAATATAAGCTTTTCAGCCTGTGAAATCCATTAATAACCACATTAAACCTTCTCATATTGTATGAATTGTCAGGTTTAAATGATTCTTTTTTAAAAACAATTATCTGTCTCTTGCTTCTTGCAGTTTGTTAAAATGCTATGTCAATTTACAAATATTGGGGGAATTTGACACAGAAGTTTTAGAGGGGGAAGGAACTAATCATCGGTTTACCTAGCATGAGTGCTCAAGTGCGCATAAAGGAAATGAACATTGATTCAAAATTTAAATGAAAAATTCTGTTCATGAGTGGAATTGCCAAAGTTTAACTTGAAAAACCTTTGCTTCTTGAGTTCTAAGGGAAGTAAAAACTGTTGGTAAACTTGTTGAATGGCTTACATATGATATTTATTAAGACAAATGACAACGTATGTATTTTAAAGGACTAGTTAGTACTTATAGAAGACAGTTCTGCGTTGAAATAGATGGGGAACAATGTTGTCTTCTGGTAGTTTTTGAGGTGCAGCCTTGAAGTGTTTGTGATGTGACTGAGAATCCCAATGCAGTGAACTCATGTATCCCTTGGGTATAATATTCTGCTCATGCTATAAAAATATGCTCCTTGGGTTAAATATTTTCCCCCTAATGCCTAAAATAAAATGAAGATGTAACTATGCTCTTCCATGCTCCTAATCTTCAGTAGCTTGCAAAGGCTGTGAGTCTCTTCTTTCCTTTTATGGGTTATACAAGATAGAGACTCCATTCCTTCCCCTACAATGTATGTAAATGCAGAGGACAGTGAAGTCTAGCTCAGTTCATGTAGAATATTTCTGCCTTAGCCTCTTACCTGTGTGCCTGAGTGAAGAACTGATTTAATGCAAATCTGAAATAAACTGTGTGACATTGCGACTAGGTTAGGAGCCCGTTGTGCCTGAGTTCTGTATAAATACATAATAGTGGTTACAGGCTGTCCCAAAGTACTTTTAATAGTCAAGACAGAATGGAGCAGATCATCACCATTTTACAGGAGAGAATTGAGGCATAGGGAGAACAGTGTTAACTTCCAGGTATGCCTACAACTTTTGGACACACAATAAAAAAGTGGAGAACATCTGAAATAGATGAGCAACTAACATGAAATAAGTCCTATTACAATTATCTAAGAGAAGGCATTTAAAGCATGGGTTACCTTTGAAAATACATCACTGAAGATTATAGGCAGTTCCTAAAAAAGTTTCAAAACGACCTAAGCTTGGTCACCTACCACCTCTAAAAAGTCAAGCCGTAATTGATTTATCCAGGATCACACAAGCTGTCTCTTGAAGAAGCAAACGCTCTTCGTTGGCATTGCAATCCTTTGTGTTATTCGCAAAAATACTTTTCTAGTACTAAGAATAATCTGAACATTGTTCATAAGGAAATTTTTGGTGTTACAGAGATTCTCTGCCATCTGGCTGACTTTGTATTACTATTCTGTTACTAGTAGTCTGGTTCCACCTTCTCTGTAAAACTTACAGTAGTGAAACATCTGACTTCAGCCATTTTTGAGACAAAAAGAACCCCAGAAGGACCAAACCCTGCAACTACAACATCCCTCACAAATGCACACATATGTCATTTAGGAATCCCTATAATGCTACGAAGCGATCCACAATAATACATCAATAATAGGTGACAGTACTAGCAGAGGCTTCTATCATGTTATTCACAATAAAATTTAAGGAGAGAATGTAAAGTATATAACCTGTTGAATGTATTGCTTTTCAGGTGTTCAAAGCTATGAATATTCCTCAGATCAGAAACCCTTCCTTACCGCCTCTAGAAGATATGCCTGAAGCCTATCATGTGAAGATAGCTCTCCTTGGTGCAGGACCTGCAAGTTTAAGTTGTGCTTCCTTTTTGGCTCGATTGGGCTATTCGAACATCACCATATTTGAAAAGCAGAAGTATGTTGGTGGCTTAAGGTAAAAAACAATGACAACAGAGCACTATTTCAAATGATTGTAGAAAGCATAGCAAAAAATATTGTGCAAACATAATTTATACATGATCCCTCTACCTTCACCAAAGGAAGAGAGTAGAAAATTTTAGATTTGGAAAACTTATTTTTAATTTAAATAATTCATAATTCAAGTTAAAATAGGTACAGTTACAGGCAAGCTTTAACTGAAAATCTGGTGGCTATCTCCCATATTCTTTTCATATTCCAGGGTGCAATTTGTTATTATCAAATGAACACTTCAGAAAATTGTCAGGAACTATTTTCCCTTATCCAGAACTTTTAAAACGAGATGAAGTACTTGTAGTCCTATATGGTGAAAGAATTAGTAGCTGTTTAAAATGCTTTAGACAGATACTAATTTCATGGAGAATTTTAAATTTAGAATTCTTTCATAAACTACTTTATGCAAATAAAGGTGACGGTGAATAAATCCATCATGTATGCCTGGACTTGCAGCTTTAGTAAACCATACCATAAGAGTGAAACCATACCATACCAAAGAGTGAAAAAAAGAGTGAACGATTCTCAACCTTTGACAAATTGCAAATACACAAAGGAAGGTACCTTTGCAGTTTTCCTGTATGGAAAACACTTCTGACATTTGCATGGTGTCATGTCCTCTACACTAGAAGATGAATTTTTACGACTGTAACAATGGCTCAGGTCATATATTTTAAAGTTGATTGGAATCTCTAAGTATAAGATAAAATATTTCAGTAACTGGCTAGTGGATACCAACCCATTCAAAATCATAATTAAATTTTACATGTTGAAGACATACTCACACTTGAAGTGTTTACAAAATGAAAAGTGAAAAGAAACAGAGAGAGAAAGAAGGGTGACATGCTTGCATTTCTCTGTGCAGCATCACTGAAACCAATAGAGTTGACACTGTTAACATATTTGATCCATAATGTCAAATACTTACTCAGTGCTCTGGAAGATAGAGAATCAATGCGGGAGAAGAACTGATTACCTGAATTTTTCCCAGTGAGGTTCAGAAGTATTTTACCTAATTATCAAGGTGTTAATACATAAGCATTTAACTGTACAGCTGTTTGGTTTGAACTGGTTGCCATAGAGGATTGCAAATTTAGTATATGAAATACCTATTCACCTGTTGGGTAGCACATGTTTTCATAAATACCAGATTTAAAATCAGTTTTGTTGCTGTAAAGTAGTAAGAAATAATAAGATGTTTCTCCCAATGAAGCTTTACTTGGTGACAGGTTAGACTCAGGTTGGACTCAGCAATGTAGTACAGTACTTTCTGCAATTGCTTACAATACAGTGCTGCAGTTGCTTACTGTGTGCTTGCATATTTGAAGCAATGTGATCTTAAGTTGCATCTGTTTGTCACGTTTTAAGTTGAATTTAAAATAAAGCTTAGTCTGTTGTTTGTTCTACTGCAAAAAGCCTTACACTAAGTTTTTGCTGCTAGTATCCCTAGTGGTCAAGTGCTGCATTTTAAAATGTATTTCTTTCTTTTGAGTCTTAAAGAACACATAGCAATCAAGGTCAAATTTTCCTTCCATTCATTTTAGAAAGTTTCACATCTGGTTTAAGGGCATTAATTCCTTTTGTCTTTATTTTAATCTTGGAACAGAAGGGAGGCTGGCCTGTGGCAGCAATCATCCATTATTGCATTTGTAAGTCTTTGCAGTACATCTTCTAACACGTTTAGATTATTGATGGGTGCGTTTTCAAGGCTTCATAAACTGTTGAAAATAGCTAACAAGACCAAATTAATTTTGTATTTGGAATCAGCTGTTAGGAAGGGCAGTGCTTGTATCCTATTTTGGTTTGCTTTGCCTTTTTAAAGTGTTTTTAACTAGGATGTTCCTTCACATGCATGTTAAACCATAGCTAACGTTAATAATATTGCGACAATAGAAAAGTGTCTAGTGATTGCAGTTCCTGTGGTGTGACATTTAAGCGTAACATAATCTGTGGTTGTCTGAACATGTCTGAATTTTTCACATTCATGGGCAGGTTTTCCTACATTTCACCAGTTGTGTAAAAGTTATGCTTTGTAGTAGAGTAGGCATGAGTAGATCATGCTCTTGCTTAGAGACGGTGAACAAGCTTCACTGCTCATGCTCTTAGCTATGCCACTGGTTTATAACATACCAAAATATTTCTCTCACTAGGCCAAAGGGGTGTCTCTTGAGCAAAAGTAATTTGACATCACTGAGAAACACCAAGCACCTGTCCAAGCACCTCTAACCTGGATCGGATTTGAGGAAGAGGTGAATTTGTGGGATGCTGCTCCCATCCACCTCTTACTTCCTGCACCTCTACCTCATTTCCGTCTCTCCATTGCAGAGTCAGAGACTGTCTTCTGCTGCTGAAAGAAATTGTATCAAAATTCTTGATGTACCAGCTGACTTTCAAAAAAATGCTTGTTTTCATAATGAATGTACATGCATGTGTCCCCACAGAACTGTGTACATTTGCAAATGAACATATATGTACATTTATGTGGGTATACTCCACAGCACAAAACTGTAAATAAGTGTTTAATAAGAACAAAAAATTGTTTACAAACAATGACAGTGACATAACACAGCCAGTGCTGTTCTGGGTTCTTCTAAGATTCATGGAAATGACAGACCTTCAACAAATATATAGGTTACTTGGAAAAAGGAACTTTCCTTTCTTTATGAGATTTCTTTATTGAATCTCTGTTGCAGACTCATATTGATACATTAGTTTCTGCCTCAGACACCTTTTTACTTAGCATGACCTATGAAAGTTGTATTGTCATGACACATTCATTATATCTGATATTTAGAACACTTTTCATTGCACAGTGGTCAGGGAAGGTAAAAAAGGGCAGTATTAGAAATGATAAGGAGGAACACCAGCTTCTTATCAATATCATTAAAGGTGATACAACTTAAAATAAATAAAATCCTTCTGGCCTATCAAAGTTAGATGTTAAAGATGGTGTTATCACTAACAATACGTAAAAGAAAGCCACAGTGAATCTCTTGTGCCAGTGCTTTGTTATGGAAATTATAGATCCATTAATCTGAAAACAGATTAGACTGAAGTTTAGAAATATCTGGGGATAGACTTCCACTTTTGTGTATATTCAGGTTTTTTTATCTTCATTGGACAAAAATATCTAAAATAGAACTTCACTGTGTAATGTGTTTTATGGCAGAGATTTTGAACTGGCATAAGTAGATGTCATTTCATTGGAGATAAAAAATTTCTACCAGGAGATCTAAACTGAGATTCTATGCGGGTACTGCAGTTTTCCCATACAGGAGATCTGTGAATCTGGGAACTTGAAGATGTCATTCCTCATCTTACCCAGGAGAAGAAAGTGCCAGCTAGTAAACATGAAGTCAAAAAGCAAACTTAAGACCAAGAGCTCATAGAATATTACTGACTTTGTCTGTCCTGAAAGATCTAAAAAAAAATGTATGAAGTAGAAATGGAGGAGGGTACAGCTTTAAATACCATTGCTCAAAATAGCATATACAACACTTTTTAAAAAAAACGAAGCTCTTTTGGACCCAAACTTAACATATCTTAAATGGTTACCTACAAGGATTGGCCTCAAGGTACTGTCTTCCTGGCCTATTTTTTTAGCATTGGGTGAATAATTCTGTTTTGTCACTCTAACAATTTAAAAAAAACAACGGTCAAGCTTCAGCACATTTCCATTCACATATGTCAAAATCAACTAGGGTGTGTTATAAATATTGAATTTTTAACAAATAAAAAATCCTTTCTTCCTAATAGCTGGAAGTATTTCACAAGTGCTTTTATTTATTTTAGTACGTCTGAAATCCCCCAGTTCCGATTGCCGTATGATGTAGTAAATTTTGAAGCTGAGCTTATGAAGGATCTTGGAGTGAAGGTAAAGAAAAATATATCCTGCCTATATATAGCTCAAAGAAAAAAGAACAAGAACTCTGCCAAAGATTAACAGCAAAATGTCATGCACATTAGTAAAGAACAATTAAAAGCTACGCTAGACAGAAGCAGGAAGATGCTTCCTCTTGCTCAGGGCATTTGTCTGTCTCCTGTCTGAATGCCACCAGTTTGGAAAAGGGCAATCAATAGTTCTCATCTGGCATGCCTGCATGTGATTAATTGTCTGTAAGAAACAAATTCCTAAATTGCTTTAGGGGTTCAATGTAGCTATTGGAATGATTTGATTTTTTTAATCAAGTTTTTTTCATGCAAGTTTGGCATTACTTAAAACATTCATATTTGATACTTCTCCTTTCGTCTCCTCTCTGAGTTTTTTCTTAATGATTTATCATACAGTCTTGCATCCAAGTTAATTTTCTAATAAAATGCATCAAATTAAACAAAGTGTTAACATGATCATCTATTATAAACAATAACAGTCATTCAACTTCTTGGAAAGCAATAGTTATGCATTATTCTGTTAAACAAATGTGTGTTGTTTATAGATAATGGGAACATTGCTTTATTGTTAATTCAGGGCTTGAGCTGAAGATTTAGATAATATTTACAACTGCTGCATATTTTAATAGAAGTTACAAATGTAGAATGCATCACTGGATCAAATTTTTGAGTACCAGAAGGGATAATATATTTTAACATGATACTAAAGCATTCAGTGAAGCAAGAAATTATTCTTGGAGTCTTTTGTGTTGGTCTACATTGTAAAAGCGGTAGACTGTTGTCACAAGACCCAAGTTAAGAACACCATCCTGCCCAGGTTTTATAAAAATACTAGTAAGATATAAGATAAGGTTTTAAATGCTACAGGTCTTTTCTTTCTACTCTAAAGATCTGTTTGCAGCCCTTGAAAAAACTGGCAGAATGGAGGTTGAGTTAGGGATGGGGCTAAACACAGAGCACTGAGACAATTTTAGACAAAACTGCTGGGCATAGGCACCTGGGAACTGTCTGCAAAACTCAGTTCCCCAGGGTTCCCTGCGATGACGAGGTCTCCAGAGTGGACTGATAGAGCCACCATATCATCATGACCCGCAAGTCTTCTGCGGTTTTGAAACACGGCAGAGAATCTCAATGTAAATTTGCTTCCGCGCTCTGCCATTGGTGTGCAAGTTGACCCTTTGGCAAGCTGGCTAACCAAGTACCTTAGCTTTATACCTCTGCAAGCTGGAAATATTTTCTGGTGTTTACTTAACACATTTCAAATCTGTGGTGGAAGGTGCTGTATTGTGTAAATGCCCAGTAGTGCTGTTTATCCAAGTAATTCTACTGAAATTAGTAAGAATTAGTCAGCTGAATAAGGATTATAGAGCTAGGCCCTGGGAGTATTATGAATCCTTACATAAAATAGTATTGCCATTTAAATTCCTTCATTAGGTTTTCATAACATATGTACACAATAGGATAAAAAAATTTAATGGCAATTTATGGAATGTATTTTGTTGCCAGTGAGGATGTAGTCTGTATTCTTGAAAGGATTACAACTGTACACAGCTTTTGCACCTCTGATAAAATTTATATTAAATCTCCAAAGACAAAAAAAAGTCGGTGTTTTAAGTATTGTACACTGTGTTTTACATATGCCTTTTTTTTCACAATAGGAAAAGAATGTTAAGTGGAATATAGGCAGATTCAATAACAAACAAGGTATACAATGACATGAAGACTAAACTGTTAAGATCACAAAATATAGTGCTTACACAATAGAGCATGGCATTTTGTAAAGTGAATACACAAGTGATGTAACAAAAACTGGGGGGAAACATTCAAGTTCAGAGAGTCTAAAGTATGGAGATAAAAACATACATATCCATGTTGAGAAGTACAAAATATCAGAAGAGGAATCACACACACTTTATGCACTCAAAAGCCTTGGGATTAGGAGAGATGAGCAAAAGGTGCGTGTACCTTCAATTGCACGACCTCTGCGCAGGAGACTGCTACAGCTGGTTTCCTGAACACGCAGCAAACACTCTTCCCCGTCTCACTCTTACAACAACTGTAGTAGCCTAACCTGTCGCTGCTCAAAGCAGGGCTGCTGGTGGAACATTACTGTACAAAACTTTTCCAGCTTTTGCTTCTGGAAGTAAATAGTAGTTGAACTGAAACAAGTATAGATTATAGGTGTGGTTTTATTACTGTGACTTCTTTCAGTAGAGGAACACCAATCACTGCACTCTGGGCATTGTTGCTTGTCTAAATTAGAATTAACAATTGCAAGTTTCAATCAAAACTGATCTCATTTATAATTTTGAAAACCTTTGTTAGTTTACCACGCAGAGGAGTCTGCTTCATTATGAGCAAGTAGGGCACGCTGTATTTGCACAGAACGTTCTTCAGACTTACTGCCGTCTCTGGCCCAGTCTTTTGCAGGCAGGTTTTGTGAATTCACAGGAACAGCATTGGCTTCACTGAGGGGTTTTTGGCATAAAGGTGTTCTAGCTAGTGGTCTCAGTGCAAAATTAAGGCTGTGAGCTTTAAGAGTGCAGCACAAAGCAATACTATTCTTCCTTCGGGACTGGCACTGCATTCTGCGCAATTGGAGGCCTACCAAGTGCCTGATACTGTGCGGGAAAACATTGCTTAGTTTTCTGTTCAGAACCCCTGTTAATACAGAATAGCGTCATGTCTTTTATTTTTTTTATTTCTCTGTTAAGAGGCTCATATTTTCGCTAATGTTTCTGCAATAACCTAATCTGCTTGTTTTTTGGTTGGTGTGCTGGGTGATGCGTTTAGCACATATTCCCTAAAGGAGGTTCTTGCTTCCACATCATGTTTCTTAAATTCTGATCTTCACATGGGAATACAACCTTTTGTAGTCAGCACTGAATACAGCGATTTACTCGCAGTAGGAAACTACCATTTTCAGTTTTACTTCAGTATTGTGTTCCATTGACAGGCTTCGTTTGTTTGTTTAGCTTCCTTTAACTCTTTTAGCTAACAGCAGAAACCAAGCTAGCCTGTGGTGGCTCCTGTCTGAGGATGATCTGAAGGTACCTTTTACCCATATCTAGTTTGGGCCACTTGCTTAAATCACAGCCAATCTGGCCTTTTAAGCCTGCCTTGGGGGGAAAAAAATAATTTGCTTTGTTCACTAGAAGATCCTGCGAGATGTCTGTATGCAGGACATGATATAAATTGTTCTCACATGATCACATTAAAAGCAAGTAATCTTTAATTCTTCCAGATAATTTTTAATAAAGGCCTTGCAATGGATGGGATGACGCTCCGTACCTTGAAAGATGATGGCTATGAAGCAGTCTTTATTGGAATAGGTAAGAAGAGCTCACTGTCATGTGTTTTGTCATCTTGAAATTGACTGCCTAAGAATAAACTGGGAATTCTATCTGTGTTAATATCATGGTATGAGAAAGCTTCAATTTGATGCGTTATGAAAGTATAGAATATACGGAAAATTTAAAAAACAGGAAGCTAAAGCTAGCTGTCTGAAGACAGTTATTTGTTAAAATTTTCACATTTACATGATAGATTTTTAAGTAAGATGAGAATGTAGCTGAATGGGTTGATTTACTGTTTGTTTAAATAGTTAAAAAATCAATGAACTAAAAAATTACTTGTAATTAATTGCCATATTGGCCTAGAGCAATACACAAGTTCAGTTTTCAATTTTTGCGAACAGCTTACTGTACCACATAATCACTGAGTCTATATGTAAGCCAGTGATACCATGCTTGGTTGCTTTTTTTCTTTCCTCCATAAACAACATGTAACATCCTTCAGATAGGCTGTAGTGAAATGTAATTGTGGGTTGGGTTAATAAAATAAGCTGACTTTGACTTATACTAAAACTGGCATCATAGGTCTGTCTTCTCTCATACGCTAAGGAGGTCCTGCACCTGCCTGCTATTTAAATCATTCCTTCTTTTTAATGTTAGATTAGAATTGTTATCCATTTACAAGTATTTTGAAGTACAGCTGGACCCATCACTACCATATGATAGGCATGTTGAGCAGGCATCGTCTACAGTTGGTATGAGGCTTAATGCTCTTTATTGATCTAGACGTTGCCTAAGTGAACATAATAGGAAACAAGTTGTCCAACTGTTCCTTCTTCCTATTATTGATTACAGAGATGTAATTCTTAGTACAGCGACAACTGTTGTTTACCATCTGGGTATGCAGTATAATAAGCTTTGCAGGTCTATTCTGTCATGTAATAGTCGTACAGAGCATTGTGATTTATATAATCCTAAATCCTCACACTGTTAGAGACCTTCCATGTATAGGAATTCTGATGTGTCATATTTTGATGTAATTATATACAAAGCAATGGTCCAGCTTATCTCCTTTATTGTTTTAATCGATGTCTTTCAAACTGCTTTATAAAATCTCACCAATGAGGGATTAATTCATAAATAAACATTTGCTTTCTGAGAGTCTAGCATTTAGGAAAAAGTTAGCAGTCATTTTTGGAATATCAACATGATTCCCCTGCATTTCTGACTCAGAAATTTAAAATAACAGTTCAGTTAAAAGTTAGCAAAAATGGTCACTGAGCATTACACATAGGATTGGAATATTTGTTTTATGGATGTGAGTTTATTTTCTGACCTTAATAATGTTATCCAAATCTGAAATATTTTTGGTTAGAAATACACATATTATGCCATACAGATGCTAGGTAATGGGACACAGCCAGAATTTTAATGAACAGAGAAGGTATCTGAAGCATAATTCTCAGTGAACCATGTGTTCACTGATTGTATTAGGAAACTGAGGATATAAATGCTAATGAAGGATTATGTGTTCCTACAAAGTTTTGTTATTGGAAGCTACCTTGCATTCACGATGAAGTTAGTCCCTCTCTGTACCCCCATGTCTGCCTGTCATCTCTCTTTTGCAGTGCTGTGTAAGACACTGGACAGTAATGTGGCCTTGTGTACTGGTAGGGAAAGACGGAGGA